AACCACACAGTGCAGGTTCTAAAAAAAAGGAACCGGAACCGAAACCGCACAGTGCAGGTTCTTCAATTCAAGGAACCGGAACCTAAAATGCAGGTTCCGGTTCCTTTTCGGGGTACCTTGTATAAAATCAATTACCCCCTATTAGTTTAAAAAATGACAGAAATACCTTAAATGTTTACAAATACACCCCTAACAAATTTTGATTATTCATTCATTTGTGTCCAATGTAACTCATAATCTGTAATCTCTAAGCAATACTTGAATTCAATCAATTCATCACAATTCACATACAATTTGTCAATCAAAACCAAAACACAAACAATTATTCATCACAAATTAATGTTATAATTGGACAATTTGGTATTTATAATATACTAAATATAATTTGGTAAATTTAATATTATAAATTAGTAATGTTATAATTAATTAAGTGATCATACTACAATGTAAATTGTAATGTTATATTTAATTAAGTAATATACTATTTAATTATAATATAATATTATAATTAATTAAATTGTTAATCATTTAATTAAGTATTGTAATATTGTTTATAATAGAATGTTATAATTAATTAAGTAATCATACCATAAATTTATAATGTATTTATACTTAATAAAAAAATTTTTTCCTAATAGCCCATTAATTAAGTATGTTGTAAATTAGTAAATTACTAATGTTTATAATATAATGTCATAATCAATTAAGTATCATTTAATATATATGTTATATAATTATATGACATATAATAATAATATAATGTAATATTATAATGAATTAGTAATCATACTATAAATCTATAATTTAATATTATAATTAATTAAATTTCAAATCATTTAATTAATATACTAATGTTTATAATGGAATGTTATAATTGATTAAGTAATCATATTATAAATAATAAGGTAATGTTATAATTATTAAATTTTTAATCGTTTAATTAAGTAATGTAATAATATAGTAAATTACTAATATTTTAAATGTAATGATATAAATTCATAACTAATTATGTATCATTTAACTATGTAATGCTATGATAATTAAGTGATTATAATATAATGTAATATAATAATGTTATAATTTAATTGAGTAATTATTTAACTAATGTAATGTTAATTAATGTTTATAATGAAATGTTTAAGGGTATTTTAAATTAATTAATTTCTAATAATTTAATTAAGATTGTGCTAATGTTTATGTAGTAATAGTAATTACTAATGTTTAAAAATATATATCATCATAATCATTTAAGTAATCATTTAATTATATAATTTATAATTAATATGTATCATACTATAATGTAATGTTAGTGAACTAAGTAATCATTTATAGATCTTTAATGTTATATTATAAATTAAAATTTTAATTATTTAATTAAGTATAAATAAATAATATGAGTAAATTACTAATGTTTATAATAAGAGTTATATTTATAACTATTAAGTAATCATTTAACTATGTAAACTATAATTAATTAAGTGATCATAATATTGTAATATAATAATGTTATAATTTAATTAGTAATTATTAAGTATAATGTAATATTAATTAATTAAATTTCTAATCATTTAATTAAGCAATCATTTGTTTATAATGTAATGTTATATTAATGTATATAATATAAAGTCATAATCAATTAAATAATTATCTAATTATGTAATGTTATAATTAATTATTAATCAACTAATCATACTATAATGAAATAGTGAAATGTTACAATGAATTAAGTAATCATACTATAAGTCTTTAATATAAATTATATTATTTTTTAATAGAATATTATAATTAATTAAGTAATCATTTATTATAATGTAATGTTAAAATTAATTACATATCGTACTATAAATTTATAATGTAATTGTAATTAATTAAATTTCTAATCATTTATTAAGTATTATGCTAATGTTTATGTAGTAAATTAGTAATTACTAATATTATAATATATTTCATAATCAATTAAGTAATCATTTAATTATGAATGTTATAATTAATTATATAATTATACTATATGTAATGTTATAGTGATTAACTATTAAGTAATCATACATAATTTTTAATGTAATATTATAATTAATTAAATTTTTAATCATTTAATTAAGTTTATACTAATGTTTATAATAAATTTTATCATTTAAGTATTATACTATAATCTATAATGTATGCATATTAATTAAATTTCTAATTATTTAATTAAGTATACTATGTTATAACTTATAAGTCAATTAATTAAGTAAGTAATCAATTAATGTAATGCTATAATTAATTATACTATAAATCAATTAAGTAATGTTATAAAATTATAATTAATTAAGTAATCATTTAACTATAATGTAATGTATAATTGATAAGTATGATATTTAACTAGTAATTAAATTTATTAATGTTTATCTTTTATCATATATAATTAATTAATTACTAATTTATTATAGATATTAGAACTTGATAATTGAAGTAAATAACTAAATATATTATTACTCAATCAAAATACTATTTTATTAAAATAATTCTTTTAATAACATTAAAAATGTAAAACACTTTAATTGGATGATAATTCCAATTATTCACTTAACTAATCAAACTTTAAATTAATGTATTATAATATATTAAACTTTAATATGGTATAATTTATATTTAATAAGTATATTATATGTCGTATATTTATTAATTAGGTTATTCTAATTTTAACTTTTTCTATTTTAAATTTTTTATATGTAAAATAATAAAAACCCTCCATTATTCACATTTCACAATATTTCATTGTAGTCCAGGTTCCAAACAGGTTTTCAAACACAGGTTCAAAATAAGTTCTAAAACAGTTTTCAAACAGGTGTCAAAACAGGTTCCAAACAGGTTCCAAAACAAGTTCTAAAACAGGTTCCAAACAGGTTTCAAAACAGGTTCCAAAACAGGTTCCAAACAGGTTTCAAAAGTTGGTTCCAAACCGGGTACCCCTACAGGTTCCAAACAGGGTACATTTTTTATAGGTTTCAATTCCGGTTCTGGTTCCGGTTTCGGTTTCTCCACACATAAGAACCAGAACCGGAATCACACAGTATCGATTCCAAAAAATTAGAACCGGAACCTATCTACACAGTACCAGTTCCAGGTAGATTCCGGTTTCAATTCCGATTCTATCTCTAGGTTCCGATTCTACCCGCTATCCATGCTCACCCGTCACTTCTTTGAGGCAAATAGCAGCTTTAAATTGGTCACAGCATTTGTCGCCAATATATTATCAAGTCAGTGGCCGCTAACCTTGAGCGCACTAACTATGATGATAGACGCACATGCAGTGACTAGCCGCCAACCAACAAGTTTAACCAGAATTATATAGTTTTTATTTTCTTAATGAGATAAAATAATATTTTTATTGATTAAAAAATATGATAATTCACAATATAATAAAGAAAAATATATTTTTATTTTGATATTAACTTGACAAATATTATTTGTTAAATGATCTTATGTATTATACCAATATTATTTTTATAATATTTAATATCTACTTACATTAATACTTTATTTTTAATATTCTAGATTATTATTCATAGGATTAATTTTTTGAATTAAAAATGTAACTACAAATAAAATACTATTCCACCATCTAATCAAATCCTTTTTGCTAGTTAAGTAACCACTTGATTTAAAAACTTAAACTTCCAAATTAAATAACCACATGACTAAAAAACTTAAACTTCTAGATGAAAGCAAGATTAATATTTAAGACTAACGCATACAATTAATTTTCTGAACATAATTTGATAGTTTAGAGGGCTCATCAAAAGCTTATAATTTATATATATTTATTTAAGCAGGTGATGTCGTAGCATTTTGGATTGAAATATTGTGGCTTAAATTCTTGACTTAATAAATTTCTCCAACGGTGGTAAGAGATGTCGAATTGTAGTTAAATGTAACTACTTTCAACTATACACATATCACTTGGCAGGGGTGGACCTAGAAATTAATTTTTGATAGGGCAAGTTCAAAATTATATAATATAAAATAGAGGGTCTAAGTTCTTTGGAAAAAATAGATAAAGTAGAGAAGCTTGCCCTACGTCTAAGTTCTTTTTCAAAGCGGATTCATCCTCGAGTAGTCTAATGAGCACTTCTCTTTCTTTTTATCTTGTTTGATATGATGAGATAGACAAAAAAAAGAGGTGAGGTTCACATTTTTGTTGTGTTTGTTTTATTTTGTTTCTAACCCAGGACATATCCTGAGATAGGAACAGGTCTTTTTATTGTTTTCTTTTAGTTCGGTATAGACTTTTGATGTTTGTTTCCTTAACTCAGGGGGTGTCGTGAGGTAGGAAGAGAAGGGTGTTTGCCTTCTCTCTGTTTTTTTGCATCCTTTAGTCTTGTATAGGCTAATTGATTCTATTGGTCCTAACTCAAGGTTCGTCCTAAGGTAGGAAGCCGTTTTTGTTATAGCCTCCTTGTACATTCTCTTTCTACTTATGCTTACCTACTTACCCAAAAGAAATAGAGAAAAATTAAATGAGTGGAGTCAAATTTAGAAATATTATATATAAATACAGGGTGGTCAAAACAAAAAACCAATCCAAATTAATGAAATTTGTTTTTGAGTGGGGTCACCAGCCCCCACTCATCCTACTTGGCTTCGCCCATGACCATTGGATCAAAAAAAAAAAATGAACACTTAATAATGAGTGCTAAAAAATGAAGTCAAGAATTTAAGTTATAGTATCTAACTTAAATTCTTCGTATATATTGTGATGCTTAATTAAGATATATTACGTAACGAAGTTGCTTCTAATAACAGAAGAAAAAAAAAATTCATATTAATGGTTGGATATGGACGTGGAGTAGAATATTAAATAAGAAGAAAATTTCAGTACATTAATGTCATAATACGTGATCTGAAACATCGTCACTTATTGATACATTATCGATAACCTAATAATGGAAATCCATTATTATTTCAAGGCATATATAGCTAATAAAATCATTCATAAATCAATGAATGATTTAACTGCACTAATCTTTTGAGCACTTGTAGCCAGCAGGGATTGGGCAATTGATCTCACAGGTCTTGAGCACTGAGGTCAAAGTATCAGCAATCTTTTCCGATTCCTTATATTTATCAGGAACAGCCTTGCAAAGGCATGTAGCGGCTTTAGTAGCATCAACCTCTTTAAGGTACTTGCAGCAACCTGGGCAGTCCTTATCTAATTTTTCACCCAAGGCCGCCTTCTTCAACGTACCGTGACAATGAAAACTTACTCCATCCTTCTTGCATTGCTTTTCCTTCTTCTCTTCCTCTGCTGATGTGGAAGGAACTGAAATTAGCACCAAAGCGAAGAAGAGAAGTAATGCCAAAGCAATTCCCTTCGATGAAGCCATTGGTTTCTTAACTAGAGCTCTGAAAATATAGTGTTTAGATTAATGTGTGTAGTTTGTGAAGAATAGGGGAGCTGCATTGGGTTTATATAAGAGGAAACTTTATATTTGCATGAAATATAATATTGTCTCATGCTGATCATGCGTCTGTAAAAATATTATTTGTAAATGTTGTGTTTTAGTTTTAAATTAATTAATGCATGTACATTTTGTACAATTATATTATTATAAAACTAATTTTAATAATTTTACTCCTTTGAATTTTTTTTTTTTTCAAATGATCACAGCTGGTTGCTTCTCATTGGCTAATTGCACATGTTCATGTAGTGTATTTGCGGGAAAATGAGATTAATAATCTCAAATATAAGTACCATGATCATGGAATCTGGGATTCATCATAAGGCAAAATCTTCAGAGATAATAAGTAATTTGATTTGATTTTTCCGGAGAAAAAGGATTTCTATTTCTAAGTTTTATAATTACTCTGGGTTTCATTGATTATATTTGGAGATGGTCCAGATAGTTATTAACAGCCAATTTAATCTTAATTTTATATAACTAAACCCCTCTTGTAAAATGAAATCCATTAAAAAAAAAAAAAAAAATACAAACTTAATGACCACATCCAATTTAAATTCCGAAAATATCCTTTATTTAGTTCTATTTAATCGTTTCTAAAACAATATTGGTAGTCAAGTTTGAAAGTGTGATGTTTTGAGTAAAAACAGAGGAAAAATCGAAAGAAAATTCTGGAAAATATTAATGTTTAGTAAGTGTACAATGATGAACTCTTTTTATAGAGTTTTAAGAAACAGACTGCTAACTGAAATTGCTAACTAACTGTTAAGACTAACAGTGATTATAACAGTAGGCAAACGGCCACAAACAGCCTCTTTACTAACAGAAAGAACTTATTAATAATTCTTTTTTACATTAATTTATTTCTTTTAGGAAAAAAGAAATGAGTTTGATCTAGAATCTCGATCTCAATTAAAATTTTCGGTGTTACCATTTACTAGTTAGTAAATTCGCGTTTTATACGCGAATTATACGGCTAGCCGTAAAATTCCCGTATAAAACGCGAATTCACATATTTTATTAGGGCTGCCGTATAATTCGCGAATTATATACCCTATCCGTATAATTCGCGAATTACACGCGAATTATTGCCGAATTTTTGCAGACAAAAAAATAATTAAATGATAAGGCAAAACGACGTCGTTTTGGTGGGGTTTGACTAAAATTAAAGAAAATCTTCTTCTCCTCTTTCTCGGTTCTCTCTTCCACAGTCTTCATCTCTTCTTCAAATCTTCAACAATTCAACTCTTTTTTCTTCATCTCTTGACTCTTTGAGTCTTGATCTCTTCTTCTCTTCTCTTTTTAAATTTTAACTCTCTTCTCCAAGCTTTAAGTCCAAGACTTCAACTCTTCAAACCTCAAGCTACACACTTCTTCTCTTCTCTTTTTAACTCTCTTGAATCTTGTATGTTGGTGATTTGTTTGTGTTTGTGCTGGTGTGTGAGTAGTAGTAATAGAGGTTGGTGGATTGATGGATTTGTTATGTTGGTGGATTGATAGATTTGTTTGAAACATGTTTGATGAAATGCTTGTGAGAGTTATATTTGGTATCTGTTTTAACATAATATTTCATTTAGTTCTGTTGTTTTGTGTTGTATGGGTCAAAATGAAAAGACTAAAGATCATCTATGAAAGCAAAAGGTAAAGGCAAAACTGCAAAAGAAAAGCATGAATTCATAAAAATAATATTGTCGGGCTTGGATTTGGAATTGGCAGATACTTAAAGAAGAAAAAAAAAACAACAAACCATCAGCTTGCAACCAACGCCAACTGCAAATTGTAAGCCCATGTGCACTTTGTCATGTTTTTAGATTTCATAACACTATTATTATTTTACTTTTGAATGCATTGTCCAATTAAATTCAGAACATAAAATTCAGAAATTAAAACAACTATACTAATTGGAATCCAAATTTTGTATGCGTAGCTATAAAATAACGGATAAAAATACTAGTCTTAGTTATTGTTCAAATATACTTTAAATAAAAAGGAAAATAAATTGTAGGGTCGACCACAATGGATTATTTAAATTGTGATGTTTTGAAAAGTGCTAAAACCAAGATTGCTATTGCCGTATTTTTCAAAATATATTATTGACAATGTGTCGTATTAAACCCGCATATATCCGAATCGTATTTTTTCCGTATCCGAATTTTATGACCGAATTTTTACAAACTTATTTTTCACCATTTGCCGTATCATACCCGTAAAATTCCCGGCCGTACCCGTATTTACTAACTATGTTACCAACAAAAGAGAGTAGAAATTGGAGTCTCACTAAAGAAATGCATTAGAGCATGGGTTTATAAATTATATGTTGCTTTATTTTAAGGTGATGGTTTAGATTAGAGAGATAATTTTTACATGAAATATTCCACGCGCTTTGACTAAATGAGATTCTTTTAATAATTAAATACATTAAAAAATAAAGAAATTATCAATTAATTTGTAGAAAAAATTATTTCAAAGTTATTACTGCTGGTTTGAACTTGAACTCTTATGTAAATGTGTTTGAGCACCATCCTGATTCTTAAGCAGTTAGATATATCTTGAAAACTCATTGCTCATGTTGTTGTAGTGCTCTTATATGTATTTTAGGTTATTTAAGCCAGCACCAATAACCTAAAAATACATGTACAACAACATGAGCAATTAGCGGATCATAAGCCAACAGTAATAACTTTGAAATAAATTCTTCTACAAGTTAATTAATAATTTCTTTATTTTTTAATGTATTTAATTATTGCAAGAATCTGATTTCTTCAACGCGTGTGGAATATTTCATGTAAAAAATATCTATTCTAATCTAAACCATCACCTTAAAATAAAGCAATAAATAATTTATAAACCCATGTTCTAATGCATTTCTTCATATAGTCTCCAATTTCTACTCTTTTTTGTTGGTAACAATGGCGCACCAGAAATTTGAATTGAGATCGAGATACTAGATCAAACCCGTTTCTTTCTCCCTAAAAAAATAAATTAATATAAAAAAGGATTATTAATAAGTTCTTTCAAACTTGACTACCAATAATGTTGTATTGAAAGATTGCTGATACTTTGACCTCAGTGCTCAAGACCTGTGAGATCAATTGCCCAATCCCTGCTGGCTACAAGTGCTCAAAAGATTAGTGCAGTAAAATCTTCATTGTTATGAATGATTTTATTAGCTATATATGCCTTGAAATAATAATGGATTTCCATTATTAGGTTATCGATAATGTATCAATAGTGACGATGTTTCAGATCACGTATTAGACTTAATGTACTGAAATTTCTCTTATTTAATATCTACTCCACGTCCATATCCAACCATTAATATGAATTTTTTTTTTCTTCATTAAGCATCACAATATATACGAAGAATTAAGTTAGATACTATAACTTAAATTCTGACTTCATTTTTAGCACTCATATTAAGTGTTCATTTTTTTTTTTTTGATCCAATGGTCATGGGCAAGCCAAGTAGGATGAGTGGGGGCTGGTGACCCCACTCAAAAACAAATTTCATTATTGGATTGGTTTTTTGTTTTGACCACCCTGTATTTATATATAATATTTCTAAATTTGACTCCACTCATTTAATTTTTCTCTATTTCTTTTGGGTAAGTAGGTAGCATAAATAGAAAGAGAATGTACAAAGAGGCCATAACAAAAAGGCTTCCTACCTTAGGACGAACCTTGAGTTAGGACCAATAGAATCAATTAGCCTATACAAGACTAAAGGATGCAAAAAAACAGAGGAAAGCAAACACCCTTCTCTTCCTACCTCACGACACCCCGAGTTAGGAAACAAAATCAAAAGTCTTACGGACTAAAAGAAAACAATAAAAAGACCTTTCCTATCTCAGGATATGTCCGGGTTAGAAACAAAATAAAACAAACACAACAAAAATGTGAACCTCACTCTTTTTTTTGTCTATCTCATCATATCAAACAAGATAAAAAGAAAGAGAAGTGCTCATTAGACACTCGAGGATGAATCCGCTTTGAAAAAGAACTTAGACGTAGGGCAGCTTCTCTACTTTATTATTTTTTCCAAAGAACTTAGACCCTCTTTTTATATTATATAATTTTGAACTTGCCTTCCAAAATTAATTTCTAGGTCCACCCCTGCCAAGTGATATGTGTATAGTTGAAAGTAGTTACATTTAACTACAATCGACATCTCTTACCACCGTTGGAGAAATTTATTAAGTCAAGAATTTAAGCCACAAATTTCAATCCAAAATGCTACGACATCACCTGCTTAAATAAATATATATAAATTATAAGCTTTTGATGAGCCCTCTAAACTATCAAATTATGTTCAGAAAATTAATTGTATGCGTTAGTCTTAAATATTAATCTGCTTTCATCAGAAGTTAAGTTTTTTAGTCATGTGGTTTTTAATTGGAAGTTTAAGTTTTTAAATCAAGTGGTACTTAACTAGCAAAAAGGATTTGATTAGTGTGGTGGAATAGTATTTATTTGTAGTACATTTTTAATTCAAAAATTAATCCTATGAATAATATCTAGAATATTAAAAAAAAGTATTAATGTAAGTAGATATTAAATATTATAAAATAATTGGTATAATACATAAGATCATTTAACAAATAATATTTGTCAAGTTAATATCAAAATAAAATATATATTTTTTATTATATTGTGAATTATCATATTTTTTAATCAATAAAAATATATTTTATCTCATTAAGAAATAAAAACTATAATTCTGGTTAAACTTGTTGGTTGGCGGCAGTCACTGCAGTGCGTCTACATCATAGTTAATGCGCTCAAGGTTAGCGGCCACGACTTGATAAATATTGGCGACAAATGCTGTGACCAATTTAAGCTGCTATTGCCTCAAAGAAGTGACGGGTGAGCATGGATAGCGGGTAGAATCGGAACTAGAGATAGAATCGGAATTGAAACCGGAATCT